TTATTTATTTGAGAGAGAGAATGAGAGAGCATGAGAGGGGGAGGGTCAGAGGGAGAAGCAGACTCCCCGCCGAGCAGGGAGCCCGATGCGGGACTCGATTCCGGGACTCCAGGATCATGACCTGAGCCGAAGGCAGTCGCTTAACCAACTGAGCCACCCAGGCGCCCATAGGTAAGGCCATTTCTCATCAAGATGGTTCCAGAAGGAAGGGAGAAAGAAGGTAGAGTTTAAAGAGTGTTTTAAGAAATAACATTTTAAAGCTTCCCAAATTTGGTGGAAGATATTAATCTACACATTCAAGAAGCTGAGCTAACCCCAAACAGGGTAAACCCAAAGAAATCTACGCCCAGACACATCATAATTAAACTCTTGAAAACTAAAGACAAAGAAAAAAAGTCTTGAAAGAGGCCAGAAAGAGAACAATACATTCCCTACAGAGAGAACAACGATTTTAATAACAGGGCATTGCTTATCTGAAACCACAGAGGCCAGAAAAAAGTGGTACAATATTTTTCAAGTGTTAAAAGAACTGTCAATTATAAATTCTATATACATTTGTAAAACTATCCTTTAGGATATAAAGGAGAAATGAAAACATTCTCAGGTAAGGAAAACTAAAAGAATCTGTCACAAATAGCCCTCGTCTTAAAGACTGGCTAAAGAAACTTCTTCAAACAGAAAGGACATGGGTTTTGGCCCAATATATTTTCATATCACAACTAGTAATGCTACTCATTCATGGCTACAAAAATTAATCTTGAGTTGAAGAAAATCACAATGTTATAAATCTGACAAATTATCTGCAAAAAAATTAAAGAGGGAAGTGTTGTTCTGAGTCAATAAAAGTGAAAGCAATGGGTCTCAGAGGCCTACAGAAGTTGCAGGAGCATCAGATCGATATTAATACCATGGCATTTAAATTCCCTAAAATTATCTGAAAACAATGTGCAGACTGAACGTGAATGCAGACCTAGGAAAGAATCAGATTTTCTCTTTTCCAGAAAGTAGCACAGTTCTTATTAAAATATGTACTGCCAGGATCTAAATACGCTTCAAGGCAAGTGTGAGGAGTACAGAGAACTGAACTATGTGCCTAAACAGCTACAAGACAAAATGACCATAGAACATAGTTTAG